GCACCTGCCTGTCTGCAGGCAGAACCCCAGTGCCCACCTCCCGCACTCCTCGATTCGTGGGCTCAGCGGTGGGGGCGGGGGGCTTTTGTCTCCACTGCGGTTCAGTGTGGAGGAAACTTCTAAAAGTCCTTCAACACTCCCAGCCCGGCCGAGAGCCCAAACGTGGCCAAGGGTCCTCACCATTCACTCCCTGGGCAAGGGCTGGCCATCCCTGTGGCCTTGGGGGTCCACCATGCACTGGGCTTCTAGATTGCGACCCCCCAAGGGAGCCCCACGTTCGCCTGTCACGGCTGTCCTGGCTCGGGCCCACCCCTCCGTGCTACCACCTGCCCCCCAGGTTCCCTGTAGTAGGTGTCCACTGTGGTTCAGCCCCTGCCCCCACAGCAGCCCAGACCTCAGTGCACAGGCCGACGCCCCTGCCTCCCAGGGGTGGGCAGACAGGCGGGACTCCTTCGGGGCGCTCGTGCCTGCAGATTACCCCAGCTTGGCCGGGCAGCAGCCCCCACACTCACTGAGCCTGAGGCCTGGCACATAGTGGGCGCTGCTGCACACACGCAGGAAGCTGGGCACTGGGTGAGGCCAGCTCCTGCCATGGGAGGCCGTGGACAGCCTGGTGGGGGCTCCTGCATGTCAGGGACGAGGGGACTGAGGTCATGGTTCTGTGTGGGGAGGGAACTTCCTCCCAGGAGCCCTAGAGCCCAGAGAGGGGAGCAGGTGTCCCCACGGCCACGGGGGACCAAGTCCACCAGCTGGGCAGGGGCCAGGAGGGAAGAGACCTGGGGTTTGTCGTGGAAAACCTGGGCCACCCGCCGGTCCCAAGCTTGGGCCCTGCAGGAGGGGAGATGGCGCGGGGGCTCAGCCAACCGCACGCGCAGGCTCCAGGTCAGCCTGGGGCCCACGCGACCCCAGACGCCGCCACGGCAGGTACTGGGTCTGGCGCCAGGAAGAGCTGGCAGCAGAGGGTGTGCTTGGCGGGAGCTGCAGGGGCCGGGGCTGGGGCCCGGGGGCCCAGGGGCCCGAGGACAGAGCCCGACCTTGTTCCACAGGAAAGAAGGACCCAGCAGGGCTGAGGGCCCCCCAAGGCCCCACAGGGTCTCACGTGGCTGCTGGGAAGGAGAGGCCCAGAGCGTGAGGGCCGGGCCCTGGGCTGAGGGGCAGCGGGGCGCCGAGGATCCAGCTGGCGGGAGGGCTGGGTCAGCGGCGGCCGGCGGGGCCCAGGGAGGAAGCCTGGAGCGATGACCTCATCCCCCAGGCCTCCGGGCCGCCCCCAGGCCGGGGACGTGGGGCGCCCTGTCGCGGGTCTTTGTGTAGGACCCAGACAAAACCAGCCCCTCACCTGGGCCTGGGGCAGGGTCTCATGCTGCAGAGGAGGGGGCCCCCCACCAGCAGCAGGCCTTGGGAGACAGGAAGGCCGCCCGAAACCAGGAACACACTCCCAGGACAGGCACGCCCATGCACACACGCGTGTGAACAGTCTCCTCCGGACTCGGCACCGGCGGCAGCCACCTTCCCCGGGCGGCCACAGGCCAGCGGCAGGCCGAGCGGACCTCAGGCTGTGCCCCCAGCCCGGCAAGATTCCTCCCAGATGGCTTCTTCAGACCCACGCACATGCCTGGATCCCCGCGTGGCCGCCCAGAGCGCTCGGCACCGCAGAGCCAGGTGCACGGAGCAGGAGGGCCACGGAGCTCTTGGGGGCTGACCCCTCCCCCATGAATGTGGGACCCCTACTCTGGCCCACGGGGGCTCCCCAAGCCTGTGGTGTAGGATCCCCGCTCAGCACCCCTGCACTGGGCCAGCAGCTCCAGGCTGCACGTGACAAGGGCGCCCCCTGGTGTCCCTGCAGCCGAGGCCGGCTCTGTCCCACTCTCCCTGTCTGGGGCCGGCTGGCGCTCTCACCCCCCAGGGACCTGAGCCCTAGATCGCACCCCAGCCAACCTGTTCCCTGCTAGGACCCCACCCCCGAGCTTCTAAACCACGAGCCAGGGTCCTGCGCTCACCCACCCCTTGAGGCTGTGAGCTGCGAGGGGGAGGGGTCCCGTCCTGTCTCGGGCCCCCCAGCAGGTACCCAGCTCCGTCCTTGCCCCAACCCTCCCCCCGGGAAACCCTCCTTGTCCCTGCAGAGCCAAACCAATCTCAGGGTCCCAGGCCGGACCCCAACGCCTGGCACAGCTGAAGGGAGGGGCAAAGTCTGAGGCTGTTCCTCGACTCCCCTGTGCCACAGGTGGGGAAACCGAGGCCCACGGCCGCACAGCAACAGGAGCGCCCCTGCAGGGCAGCCAGGAGGGATGTCTGAGGCCAGGCAAGCAGCCCGCTGGGTGTGGGCAGTGTGGCCACTCTCAGAGAGCGTGCCATGCCACTAAGCAAGGGAGGCACAGGGCTCGGGGCAGAGGAGTGACAGACACGGGTCAGGGAGGGCGCACGCCACAGCCTGACAGGAAGCCAGTGCCACAACGCACCAGAGCCAGCCGGCTGCATGCAGTGTGTGCAAAGGAAGCTTGGGGGCCACGGAGGGGGCCAGGGCTCGAGGCCAGAGCTCACCCCAGAACCCCAGAGCACGAGGGCAGCTTCTGGGGGATCCACGTTTGTTTCAGGATCCTCTTCCCCCCAACTGCTGTGTGGGAGTGGGGGGGGGCTGGAGGAGCACGGTGGGGGGGCAGGCGGGAGGCCGCTGTGGCCACCTCCCCAGGGAGGAACGGTTCTGAGGGCCACGTGGGGCGGGGACTCCGCCTCCGCAGCACCCAGGCCCTGGGGCCAGGGGTGAGGGAGCCCAGGACATAGCGGCTGCAGTTCAGAGAATGGCCACCAGGGGGCAGGCAGTCCCCACAGATGTCAGGTTCCACAGCAGGAGGCAATGGCCAGCAGGGGCTGCCAGGGCCTGAGGAGGAGCCCCCAGCCACTGCCCGGCCCCTGGGCTACCTCTCTGCACCGAGCCACGACACCTGGGGACAGGAGGCCTCAGCCACCGGGGCCTGCCACTCCCACAGCGGGAGGGGGAGTGTTCCCTTGGCCGTCTGTACCACGTGTCATAGGGCCTGGGGTACACACTCCACACAGGGACCTCGGAGCCCTGTATGTCCATGTTGCCAGGGGCACACGGAGCTCAGGGCACAGGTTAGGGGGTCCTTGTGAGCTGGGTCTGTATGTGAGCCTTCCCCGGGCCACTGCACCAGGACCAAGAGACAGGCCCTGCCTAGCCCTGAACCTGGGGCCCTCGGAGCCCACAGCCCCCAGCTGTCCCCAGCCCCCACAGCTGGGGGCTCCTGTCATCCCCGGGAGCCCCAAGGCATCAGAGCAGGGGGACGACCCAAGGCCCTGGGCTAAGGGAGCAGCTGTCCCAGATCCGAGCTGAACAAAACAGGTGTGGCCACATACTTACACACGCCACACACCCATGCACATGTGCTGTGTCAACACATCAGTACAGACCACGTGTGGCCAAAACACACACACATGTGCACACAAACTTCCCACTCACATTCCTACACACGCAAGCTTAAACACGCTGTACAAACACGTGCATCCCCCGTGTGCGTTCACAGCCGCATGTGAGCATGCTGCCACGTGTGCACACGGACACAGCTAGCCACACACGTGCACATCCCTGTAAACACACGTACGCGGACTACATGCAGATGCACGAGCTACTTGTACGTGCATGCGCCCACATGTGGATGCAAAGCCACCCGCGCACACTGCCATGCTGTGACACACATGCATGTACCCAGATGCACACGCCACCACACGTGTGCACACGCACCGAGTTGCACAGCCATGCATTGTTGCTGTGAGAACACATGTGCTTGTGTACACAGAGGTGCACGCACAGCCACGTGTGCATACACCAACGCACAACCACACATGCACACACGGAGCCTGGGGGGGGTCGTGCAGCCCGGCTCCAGGCCCAGGCCCTGAGCCCCAGCCCCACGGAGGAGCGCGTGTCAGGACTGCCGCCGTCCAGGCGCACACGCAGGGCCACTCGCCCACTGGGCGCTGACCCAGCTGGGGGCCTGAAGGCTGCTCAGGGAGCGGGGCCCATGGGGGGAGGGGGACGCATGCTGTGGGGCCACTGCCCACCATGAGCCCCGAACTGCAAGGACCCTGGAACCTGGGTGAGCACGAGCCCGACGAGAGAGAGAGAGAGAGAGAGAGAGAGAGAGAGAGAGGGAGGGAGGGAGGGAGGGAGGGAGGGAGGCCGGTGTCCCTGGGGACACCAGCACCCGGTGTCGCCTGTGCCGAGCAGATGGAGAGTACAGCCCAGCCCTGGAAGTGCCCACCGCCCTGCCACGCGCACGGCTACGGCGGGGGGGGGGGAAGGACCCAGCAACACGGACACCTGTGCCACGCGGTGGCCACTCCCCTCCCGCGATGCCCCTGGGGCTCAGCCACCTCCCCAGACAGGGCTCCCTGCTGGGGCCGGGCGAGCGGACCCAGAATGCATGGGGATGGGGGGGCACAGCAGGGCACAAACCAACGGTGCCGAGGCCGCGACAGCACAGGGTGCCCGGCGCCGGCCACGCAGCCACAGAGCAGCCGGAAGGGCAGGGCGGGTTCTCCCACCCCGCACCCACGGCCCCGAATCCAGCAGCAAGCAAAGAAAGATGAGCTCAGAACTCACGGCCCCACAGCCGGGGTCGCGCGGGGCCCAGCCGGACGGCAACTAGGCCCAGGGCCGCGAGGGAGGGGACGTCTCGGCGGCCGGCGCAAGGGCAGGGAGGCGTGCTGGGCTGGCGGCTTGGGACGGTGAAGGGACACTGGTGGACACGGGGTGACCGGGGTGGGAGCAGCTGTGTGCCAGGACCCCCGATCCTTCCCTTTCTCAGGAGCTGCCTCCTCCAGGAAGCCCTCTGGAACCACGCAGGCACGCTCCTCCCTCCGCCCTCCCTGCCTGTCACAGGCACACGTGGGGGTCAGGAGGCCTCCAGCATCGGGGGCGCCACAGCGTAGGCGCGGCCAGGGCCAGCTGCCCCCGCCTCACTGGTCCCCCAGCGCCTACGTACCATCCAGAAGAGGGTGCCCGTGGCCAGCGTGGCATACTGCTCGATGGTGGACAGCACACTGAAGATGAGGCAGACCAGGACGATGAGGAACCTGCAAGGCAGCAGGGCGTGGCGGTCAGCTCGCGCAGCACCCAGCACCCAGCACCCAGCTGCCCCAGCCGTCGGGGGGACTGAGCCCCATGGAGGGACCTGGCATGCGCCCCCGCCGCCCCTCCAGACACAGAAAGCAGGCGGCCACCGGTGTGGCTCCCTCCACCGGGATGGATGTTCCAGACCCGGCAGCAGTCAGAATGACGGAACATTCTAGACCTGCACAGCGTTCAGAGTGACAGAATGTTCTAGACCCAGACAGCAGTCAGTGGGGGGCTGTTCTAGACCCCAATGGCCTTCAGAATGACCGAGACAGCGGTCACAATGGCGGAACGTTCTAGACTTGAACGGCACCGAGTGACCCAGTGGCAGAGGGACGGAGTACTCCGGACCTGGACGGTGCTAGAGCTGCCAATGTCTGCGTGCCTCCCTTCCCCCCCAAGCAGCGCGCATACGCTTCCAAGGGCCCGGGGAAGGCCGCCTGGCGACGCCGGCACAGCAGCCAGCTCCCCGCCCCCGCCAGGCACCACCGGTGGGGATCCTGAGGCTGCAGGGCATGGCTGCTGCCCCCCTCCGGGGCCATCAAAGGGAAGGCGCAGCACGCCCCACCCCGGGCCTGGCCCGGCTGTCTGAGCTCTGATCCTGCCGCAGCCAGAGATAAGGGGCCCCCCAGCCCGCCCCTTCCCGAGGCTCCAACTCCCTGGCTGAGTGTGGTCCCAGGGCCAGAGCAGCAGGGGGCTGCCCCACAGTCCCGAGGACCCGAGAAAGCCCCATGCAGGGACCCCGTGGGCCAGAGCCCCCACTCTCCCCACAGGCTGGGCCCCTCCCTGCAAGCAGCCCCTGCCCGTCCCACTCACACTGCCCCGTGTCGAGTTCCCTGGGGCAGGTGGGGCTCCGAGGCCCCCCCAGGCCCCTGAGGGCCCCCAGCACCAACGTCCTGATTCCCTCCCCACCCCCACCCTCTGCTGCAGGGGCCCCCCCTCACCTGCCCGTCAGATCCACCTGCAGGGCGGGGTCCCAGCGCTCTACTCCACACCACTCTGCTCTCCCCCTCCCCACCCTGGGCCCCAGACCAGCCGGCTCCTCCCGCTCTCTGCACAGGCCCAGCCACACCTGTCCCGCCGGAGGCCCCTCACAGACCCCCACAGGACGGCTGCCCCTCAGGCTGAGAGGCCGGCCCCTCCCACCCCCATCGCGTGCTGGACGCACAGGAGCCACGGCTGGGACCTGCTGCCTACTGCCCACCTGGCCCAGCACGGTCTGCTCAGGCTGACAGGGACTCTGCCACACCGCGGACCGAGGAGCGCCTGCGGGCTGGACGAGGCACCCAGCCCAACCTTGGGGGCACAGCAGCACTGTGTGGTCATGGCAACCGGCTCGGCCAGCCCCGACCTGGGTGCACACTGGCACTGCCCAGCCATCCCTCCCCCCGGGGCTCCCGTGCGGGGCAGCCAGGGCTAATCCTCCCGGTGTGTGCTTTCACTACGGGGCAGGGAAGCAGAAGCAGCTACAGCCTGGCCGGGCCAAGAGGAAGAGCAGGTGCCACCGGGGCAGGAGGTGCCACCATGCGCTCCCCAGGCCCACCGGGCACAGCTGGGGCAGGGCGGGCACTGCACAAAGGGACGTGCAGCCTACCGGCTGCCCCTGCATGGCCACAGGGCCCAGGCAGCTCCTGGCCTCGGCTTTCCCACGACAGAATTCAGCACCTACAGCCACTCCCTCACAGGGCTCCTGGCAAGGGCTGGGCCCACGACTATGCCCCGAAGCTCTCAGCCTGCTCCCCACAAAGATATGGCCAAAACCACCGGCCAGGGCCCCATGGGAACCGACGCCGGCCCAACACCAGGAAGTGCCCTGGGGACCAGGCGCCGCCACCACGCACCCAGCCAGCAGTGAAACAGGTGACACTGATCCTCTGCACGCATCACGGGGACGCTGGCACAAGGGCATGCTGGCCACTGGGGTGGCCTCAGCGGGAGCAGAGCCAGGGGACACAAGCCGGGGCAGGCCCCCAGCAAACAGCAAGAGCAGCCAGGATTTGTGGCGTGGACCGAGAGGCCCCCTGCCTGCTGGGCTGGCTCAGGCGACACAGGGACCCAGGTGGGCAAGGCACTGCCACCAGGGCCTATGCCCGAGCCCGGCCCAGGAGGGGAGGATTCGGCCAGGAAGACCTGGAGTGAACGGGCCACCTCACAG